GTCTTCCATTGATTGACGATACTTTATTCTATGTGCGGTGCTTGTATGTGGGCTATAATTACCGTCATCTGTTTTCTTATAATTCATGAAAAGTTTCGATCAAATACCCTAGAGATTTACCAAAACTCAAGATTATACAAACTATGAATCAGTACTACTTGTATCAATGAGACATTCCAATTTGCTCAAACCGATTTCTGAGAATAGCTTCATTTCATTTCTAACAGTGTTATTTTTAGGCAATTTGTTCTTTATTGACCGTACATAGATCCAAATTCTGTCTTTTTTAGCTCAATGTAGGTTTATAATTTATTTCTGCTATCAATAACCCCGAAATAGTTACTGAATTAAAGATAATTTTATAGGCATCTATAGTTTATGACAAATAGTGTCATGCCTCCGATCCTCTTTGACAGTCTTAGTAACATTTAGATACATTTTATGATAGCTGACAGCAGAATCAATCATGGATAATATATTCCGAATGCTTTATTATTTTTCCTGACGAAGAATGATATCTGGGTTGATTTAGAGAAACAGTCGCATGCTAAACAGTTGTAAAATAGAAAATCTGTGAAAAGACGAATTAGAACTTATCAATAAAGACTCGTTTGCTGGTATATTTCGTGTCTACATCAATATATTCTATTCTTATTCACTGTTTGTTTAAATTGTAATACACCTCGTTATATCAGTTTGGAGATATTTATTAAAAACAACAGATTATTAAGCAATCTCCCTCATTTATCACAAATTAAACACAGTCACGTTTATTCAGTTCGATTACTCTGACATCTGCATTCAGTCGCCTTTCAAAAGTCTAAGTAACTTTTGGTGAATGAAGTTTATAAGTCGATATAAACGAAGATGAAACAATATGGCATGCTAATTCGTGCCATGAACTCATCATACATTACAACAGCTTCTAACATTCTAATTGAATTTGGAAAATTAGTATTGATCTTTTGAGGCAATCAAAGTGTTTGTATTATATTTAAAGTTAAACGATTGTGGGTGGAGATGTTTTTAATTGATATCTGGAGAACAAGTTCTGTTTAACAAAGGAAACTGTAGGATTCGAAATCAAAAACTCTTATAAATTAATCGAATAACACCCTTCCAATGTCACAAGACAAACCCCTGTCATATATCTAGATCCATTTTTTTTTATATTATGTCGCATATTTGCTTAATGACTTGAAAGATTAGCGCACATTTTAGGAATATTTGGTTTTCAATGCTCTTCAACTTCGTCGTTGATATGAGTTCAACTGTTTTGATTCGTGCGCCTCTGGTGAATCATTCGTAAACGAAATGAGCGTCTGGCGAACAAAATTTAGCCCGGTATCATTGATCATTTTTTTTCAAACTTATTGAATTTAATGCAAAACCGCCCAAAACACCGAGAAAAAATTTTTTTTTCGGGAGCCTTACCAGATTAATGTGGTAAACTGTCGTTGTGGGTAAACCCTTATCTCATATCTAGTTTTGTAAAATGGCAATTTTGCGCAAAATATGTCAATTCCAACATGTTTTTCACATCAAACTTAAGGGTCGGCCAATTTGCCATTTCTGTACTAAAGTGTAGAAGTTTAAACCCTATTGAAGCGTTTTGTCATTTTTACCATTTCAAGAGTCAGATAACCATCTACCTCTTCCTTTCGGAACCACAATAAGTGTCCATTCAAAAAGCTTAACGTGACAAGTTTCAACACCGGACAAAATCCTGCAGTAGATCGGATTTTTTTAATATTTAGCGAGAACTCCAAATGTATCAAATGTTTGTCCTGTCGTCGTCTTTCGTTTTTGACTTAACGTCAGTTTCCCTTCGACTTGTAAGTTTTGGAAGTCCCCTTGGTATCTTTCACATCTTTTTTAGCTTTCTTTCGCACATAATGATTGTTACTAAACCCAACGAACGTTAATGTTATGTGTAAATTTCATAAAGTAAGATTTACCATATTTGATGCGGATAATTGATTCAGTGCTTTTAGGGTGTCTGAAGGATTTTTGAAATTTTACTTTAATTGTAACACTGTCTTTACTTGTAAACACTAGATTGATCAAATAGTGCTGTTGGTAATCGGCTGCTAAAAAGCCTTTGATATCTTATACAATATAAAGGTAAAAGAGCATATTATGGCTTAGTTGAAGCCATTTTAGTTACCATGGATACTATTTTGTGAACGACGTTATCTTTACGGGCATCTGACTGGAAACTCGTAGTCCTATCTTGGCATAAGAAAAAGTGGTCTAACAATATTATTTACCGACTTGAGTGTTATGTTAGTAGACGAGTATATATAGAGGCTCTTCATGACTGACACAAGGGATAGGGATAATCAACACTTTACTTTAGTGCCAATGACAACCAATTCATCAGGAAAAAGAAATAACATATATTTCAAAAAGTTTACAAAATAGGTCTTGTTCTTGCTTGCAAAAAGTAAAATAACAAAAATACCGAACTCCAAGGAAAATTCAAATCGGAAAGTCCGTTATCAAATGGGAAAATCAAAAGCTCAAACAAGCAATTGATTATCAGTAAAACTTAGCGGTTTGATGTTAAATATATTTTAGTTGTGTGATTTCAGCACCATGTATGAAAGTCCAGTTGTCGGTCTTACAGCCTAATCTGGTATCACACGAGGTACATGATACATGTCTCCCTTTCTTGGACTTATTGGTTTTGATCGCCTTTTTGTTTTATTCTGAAATGTATTCTCAAATCTTAAATCATGGCTTGGCTGAATGCCATATTGACTAGTCTACTGTGACCATTGAACTCACATTGACCTTTACACATGTTTACTTGCTTGTCCTTTTGGATTGTTGTCTCATTGAAGCTTTCCACAAATTTATTTTTCTTATATTTATTTACAAAGAAACACAACATTTGATTATATTTATCAACATTCCTGTCAAAAAGTAGAGAAACCTGTCTATTACATACACCAGAAGTAAATCCCAATCTGTTATTGGTAAATATTAGACCTTTATCTTAAGATCTTAGTTATTTACACAACTATAAATAATGAAACCCCATGAGATATTAAAATGTCTTATTTTTATGATTTACATTTGCCTGACCAGACAATTTAATCCGAAAAAGAAAGAAATATAATATAACAAAATAGAGTGTTTTTTTCATACATATAACCATTACTGTTACAGATTTTATAGAATGCATCATGTATTCTTCGTAGATATATTTATTTATGTAAAATGGTGTTCATACGTCTGCGAGATGTACCTACACAGACAATCTTCAAGTTAAATTTACATAACACATTTAAACCTAATTCCTTTTTCTATTATCTATTATCTACATCTAAATTAAGGAATATTAAATGCATGTCTCACAACTCATCATTTAATCAAGTTCTACAGCAGTTTGAATGACAGTGTATTAACTTCTAATATCAATTTTGATTACATTCTAAAATCGGCAATGGTGGAAACCTAAATAGAAAGGAGTAAAAAGAATCAACATTTTCATCTTGAGTTTGAATGTTTATCTTACATGATAGAGATGAAAATAATCGATAAATTTATTATATGAATATTTAAGATTTTGCCTGTATTTTCGTTAATATAGTTTTTATATACAATATGCATAACAGTCTTAAGATTTGTGCAACGATACACAGTAATTATTGTATATTCGAACATATGTATATTCATTAACTAAGATTCGTAACAACAAATAAAAAAAACCCAATAAAAGAGGCACAGTTAAAAACCATAGGAATACCAAAAAATCGAACACTTTAACTTCAAAACGAACAAAAAAACTTATCTAGACATTAACTTTTTAAAAGTTTTATTATTATAAAAGAACTGTAACGCTTTATAAATTAATATATTGTTGTTTGCTTAGCGTCCAGTTGCAAATATTTTATGCATGTTCAGGACGAGAACAAATTAACGAAGACTACAGTTGGTGGGATCTGCCAAGTAGGGATCGACCAGGATAAAATTTGGGAAATTTGAACCTCCTGTTGAAAATGAGGCATAAGGACAGACAATTTTTTCTTGTAATAGGCCACATACAGATCTAAACCCCTTAGGCAGTTGTTGCAAGGGTTCTTTAACTTGCAGAGATCATGGCACTCTTTCTGCACGAGGCATTGAATGTAATGTCCCCAAACCGACCGGATGTGGCTACGTAGTAATACACATCGCTCAGCCGAACGGACGCCTAAGGTATTTACTACAGGAACGAGAAAGGTCCAAGGGATGACCATATTTCTATAACCTAGTCAAAACTTGGGATAGGAACTGTAACGACCAAACATATTATATTATAATCAACCAAGTTTATACACTTTTTGAAGAACGGTTCAAATTGAGTTTTATCAGCTTTCTCCCTATTGCCGTAAGATTTGCAGCAGTAAGAAAGGGAATCCCTGGTGACTTATCATTTTGTGCAATATTTAAAGAATTGTCTCTCAGAATTTAACGATGTTAATCAACGAAGAAGCCTTATTATTTCTATGCACGTGTTTATAAATGTCGAAAACTTTGATGTTTTTTTTTTTAGAGAAGACAATAATCCAATTTTATTACACGCTTAAATATGGATTTTATTTTTGGAATATTTTTGTAGTAGACATGGACATCTTTAAAGGCGATCTTATCAAAGCGTTTTTATATTCCGTTTTAAAGTACTATTATCGTAAGGTAGAGGTAATTTAAGGGAATGGTGATGGTGTGTGTAGATACAAACAATGAAATATTACAAAAAATCTCATGACGACGATGATGCAAACAACTTTATATATAGGAAATGAAGTAAATGTTTGAAATCTTGATATAAAACCATAGACCGAAATGTAAAGTTTGAAAACAGATGTTATTGCTAATAAATAAAATTTTAATTCCGAGTGCTTGTTTGTTTTGTTATTAATTTACTCGAATTGGCGAGAGGAAAATGATATACCCCTTCCCCCGTATGGTAATGATAACAATGATAAAACAAATATTTATTCTTTTTTCAGCCGGAGTCCGCCTACGTTTGTCTATTACAGAAATGAGAACGAGTCAGTGTGAATATCTTAGTGGAAGAGACATACCATTTTCACAACATTCCAGAAATGTAGCTCGTAAGATATTAGTTGTCACAGTAGATTAACTCTCTCTCTCTCTCTCTCTCTCTCTCTCTCTCTCTCTCTCTCTCTCTCTCTCTCTCTCTCTCTCCATGTACAAACAATTATGAATTTAATTCCAGTATTTCAGAAGGTTTTCCACAGTCCCAAATGTGTAAGATAAAATAGAATTTATCAAGTTCTAAGTTAACCAACAGAAAAAAAACGCTACCTTGCATTTAGCCATCAAAAACTTATTTCCAGACGAGTTGATTTGTAACTTAAACATAACATTAATGATTGAAACCCACCAACATCCGAATGGTAAAAATAAAGGCGAACTGAATTCAATCAACATACATATTTGTACTTCTATTCCCGTCAATAAAACTTATCAATGTATACTAATCTGACATTTTTGCACTCAGCTAAGAATATTTAACACTTTAATATCTCCTCTGCGACAATCATTTGGTTGTTGTTATTCAACAAAAATGTTAACAAATGTGAAATTTATCTGTTGTGGGGAATGTATTCATGTGTAAATAAAAGTACGATTAAATTGACTTTTTGCTGTTAGAGTGCATACAATTTAAGTCTATTTCCAATTGCAATAGTATAAAAACATTTGATTAATCTACCCTTAACACTAGTATTCCCCATTCTAAACCTAAACACAGGTTCAAATAGTTAGTCAAACCATGTTTTAATAAAAAGATTGGCCATCGTAGATACTATTATCTTGTTTAAGGTAGGGTTAAAGATACATTGAAAAAACCTCTGTGATTCAAAAAACAAATTATTTTATACAGACATCATGAAGATGCTTAATTGTTTGATTGACAACACATTTGAATGTTTGGAGGACAATCCACATTCATGTGGGAACCAAAGTACTCATCTTCTTCCAGAAGTGTTCCTTTTTTCATATGATGCAGACTCATACAGTAGCATTCTAAGAAAGAATGAAAAGAAGCTAGAATTATCCTTCCACTTTACGTTCAACAATCTAGATGATGTCCTTTCAGTAAACAATTCGAATTTAGGGACGATGTTGAACGCATTTTTTCCTATTGAACTTATACCACACAGAGCTACAACTAAATCTGCCACAGGTCTTGCTTAAATTGACAATGACGGTCGGTAAGAGACGAAACTTTTCGACAAAAAAGGATGGTTTCAGCTTCCGAATTTGGAAATTTTAAAATCTATGGAACAACATTCCAGCATCACCTGTATATGGGGTATATATATCTCCGAGTTGATATAATTTTGCAAAGTTTGCTTTTGTACATCATGCTTTTCTTGATATGATGTTGAAGCTCACAAGGAAGCTATTGAACCAAGTTTCAAAGTTGTCCATTCAAAAGTTCTGATGACGTCATTATGACATGGTAGATCATTATGGAATATCTGTGTCACAGATGACCACGGATATGTTCTAATTTCATAACCACAATCCTGTCCTCTTTTCTTCAAATAACCGAATGCAATTTGTCAAATAATTTGTACTTACCATGACAAAATAACGGCTGCCACTGGTGGAAGAGAACACTCCCAGTTTTTGTTGGTGTTTGTGTTGCTCAGTCTTTAATTATTCTTCTATGTACTGTTTTATTGACTTGGTAGTCTTTCGTTTTTTATCGAGGCGTTTTCAGTATCTCTTCAACTTATGAGCTTTGAATGCCCTCTGGTATCTTTCGCCTCTTTATTTTTAACCTTTTATATTCTTGCGTTACAACAGTTAGAAATTCACGGGTTGTATAAAAGTCATAAATACATCTCAATAGAAGTAAATTGAAGGATTTAATGCGAACAAGTAATTTTAATATAAGAAGAGCTTATTCATCAACATAAAAAAAAGCTACAGACAAAAAATAATACATATGCGACATTTATGCGACACTTACACGTGTTACTTTGAAGCTTACATTGAGCAAAAATGCTTCTTCCTTCCAGAGCACCTGAGGATAATCCCCGGTTTACAGTTATTCAATCTCAGTTTCTGTTGAATGTTTTGTGGACTGTTGGTTGTCTTTTCGTCGTTTTTATTTTTGTTTGATTTTATTCGATTCTGGTTTGTCAGTGCCCATCAGGTATTTCGTCTCCCTCATTTATATGTTTGTTTCTAAGGTACACGTAGCATTTATAACGTTTTGACATAAAACATGTAGGTTGAACATCAGCTTTCCACAAGTCAATACAACCAAACAAATACCTTAATCAAAGACAGTATTTATGTTATATTTCAGATGATACAATATCTAAATAGTATCCTGGTATATAAAGATGCCTCATTTTTTATGTTCTGTCTGACACATTAGTTATCCTTGGTCTAATTGTCATGCTTAAATGTCTTATCAAAGAATTAGATAATATAAAATGCGTAGATCAATAGTGTATTGTCTAAAATTTCTTTAGTAGAGGCTATGTCAGATTAACATATGACACTCAAATAAAAGTTTTAAATCTAACGTCACTAAGACAAGTAATTCCAAACATTTGACACATTTTTCATTGTAAAAAATCCAAGTTTCTCAGTTTTTTGGGTCAACAATTCATGATCAATATATTCGATGTAATATTTAGATTTATTGTTTCACAGGATTCACTTGGTCATGAAATCATATTTGTAGTTCAGCGATTTACGTGTGATTTTTCGTTATTACTCCACTTCCATCATTACTATACATATGGTATATTATGTATAAACTGATTTGGGATCAGTGTTCAGTCTTCCGTGTTGTGTTTTGTAGATTGATGTGTGTCTTTGGTCGTTGTTCCTCGTTTTTGCAATATCATTGTCAGTTCTTGTTCGTCAAATGAGTTTTTTCAGTGTATGTTCACTGGTGTTAATATGTCTATTGATTGAGTTAAGCCATTTCAATTGATATTCCATGTTGTGATGTTACACTATTGTTTCAGATAAGGGTGAAGGTTTGGTACCATTTAAACGTTTAAACCCGCTGCAATTGTTCGCACCTGTCCTAAGTCAGGAATCTGATGTTCAGTAGTTGTCGTTTGTTGATGTGGTTCATAAGTGTTTCTCGTTTCTCTTTTTTATATAGATTAGACCGTTGGTTTTCCCGTTTGAATGGTTTTACACTAGTAATTTTGGGGCCCTTTATAGCTTGCTGTTCGGTATGAGCCAAGGCTCCGTGTTGAAGACCGTACTTTGACCTATAATGGTTTACTTTTATAAATTTTGACTTGGATGGAGAGTTGTCTCGTTGGCACTCATACCACATCTTCTTATATCTATTGACTATCTCTTTGGTATCTTCTGCTATCTTTTGCACTTTTTTTAATCCTCTTGTAAATCATTATACATCCTTATCTGTTTTAAAATCCATAAATATATACATTATTGTTTTATAAATGAATTATATTTGGCTCATGTTTTCTGTTTTAGATTTAGAGCGAGCAGCATGTGCCTTTGCCTTATTATGTATGATATCAATGGTAGTTGGATTAGTGTTGGGAGGATACGGACTTTTAGGCAAAAATTTGAAAATGTTTGTATGGGCTTCAATTTGTTCTCTGACAGCAGGTATGTTCAATTTAACTTAATTTTACTATAAGCAGATAGCATATTTGAGTACACAAATTGTTTGTGAAAATGACAAACACAAATACACGCGCGCGCGCGAATCGAGTAACAATCGAACGAGGCTTTTTTTCTTCCATGAAAAATCACTTCCGTTATTAATACAAATTCTGTTTACAGACTGGTTGCAATAGTAATTGATATTGCTAGTTTCTAGATTTTCATACCCATGACAACTACTTTCAATGAAAAACGTAGAATTCGATTATAAGGCTTTGCATTGGAACCTTTAATATTAATAATACACAGAACATAATTTCTTCAAAGATAAAATTACACATGTAATTTCTTACGACTACATAAAACTTCCCGATTGCTCACATACAACTATAGTCTTGCTGGTCCTGTTATAACCAAGGACCTAGGCATCGTAAACAATGAATAACTTTGAGAGTTGAATAGCCAAAGGTTCAAATATAGAATTCCCCAGATAATCAAGTGGATGAAATATTTCAGGTTACTGATGAATGCAGTAAGGGGCTATGCCAGAAATTGGTAAAGCGCAAGCCAGATGAATATAAAATGAACACATTAGATCAAATATGTTCGGTCATGCATTCAGATGCGCATTCCAAAACTACAATGTACCATAACAACAGGGATTTCTAACCCTTGTCGAATTATGAAAATAACACTTGACCGAAGCGCCTTTCATGGTAATCCCTTCCCAGGAACGCTCAAATCGAAATATTTGAAATCCAGGGATGTATAATAAACATGTCATATCAGAAATTTATAAAAAAAAATAAAGGGAGATTATTGTACTAGATATAAACCAGTCACTAAAGTTTCATGAAAACTGCTCAAAGCACTTTTAAGATACTGTCCGAAAACTACCCCTTTTTATGAATAAAATCCCACAACTCGGGTACGTAAAATCTAATATTTATAAAAATTGAAAGGGAGTTTACGTCAATAGATATAAACAATTCACCAAAGTTTCATGAAAACTGCTCAAAGCATTTTTGACTTATTGTCAGAAAACTGGAAAAATCCCCTTTTTTTAATGAATAAAACCCCATAACTCGGAAACGTAAAATCTAAAATTCATGAAAATTGAAAGGGAGCTCACGTCAATCGATATAAACAATTCACCAAAATTTCATGCAAATTGGTTAAAGCGTTTTTGAGTTATTGTCCGACATATTGACGACGGACGGACGGACAACGGTACTCCATAATACGTCCCGTAAACGGGCGTATAAAAACGTAGACATTTTTTGAGCTTAATGACCAAAAAGAAGTTGAACAGAATAGCCAAATTTCATCTAAGGTCAACTCTGCCTGAAGGAGTTGGAACATTGTCTTTATGATTACTTAATTTTTAACAGGAAATTTTAGTAAGGTATGCTTAAAGAGAGGCAAAAGATACCAAATGCACATTCAAACTCAAAAGTCGAAAAAAAAATTGACAATTCCTTGGCAAAAACGAAAAACGACGAAAAGAAAAACAACAGTACACAAAACATTACATACTAGTAGAAGAAAACTGAATACAAAGCAAAGCGAACCCCACCAAAATTCGGTGGTGATCTCAGGTGTTCCATGTCAATGATACCATCGGGGACTAACGATCACTGGCAGTGACATCGACCCACTGCTATTAAATGATAATAACCCTTAAAGAAGACCATTGTGGACGCTTGTCATCTCTTCAAGACACAAATGTTGTTGATCCAACAGACAAAACATCAGACAATATTGTTTTACATGCAAAATTCATTACAAAAATACTTGAAATTCACAGCAAACCTTCGAACTCCATTTATACATCTTCATTATTCACGAAAGAGTAGAATTAAGAAAATAACAAATCCGTCCTTTTGGTATTTGATATTAACGTTTACATGATTTAAAGGACGATGAAAATCTACCACCTTTAAAGTTGGCACTACTTCACAAAAATCCAAATAAAAAGATAAACAACTTAATATCTTTCTATAATTCCAACTATAATTCTCTCTACAGTAAAAAAAAAAGTATTAACAAAAATACCGAACTCCAAGGTAAAATTAAAAAAGGGAGGAGTCCATGAACCTGACAGAATCAAACGCTAAACTTTATCAACCAACCAGAAAATGACGGTATTAAAAATATGATGAGGTACTACTATACTCTAGCAGTGGTGTCGATCAAAGATGATTCTTTAAAATTCTGAAGACCTACTAATATAGTCGCAGTCATAACAATTTTGCAATGATATCAAAACCTTTTATTGTTCTACACCATAAACTACTATTCCCCATGCCCAATTGAAAGATCGTCTACATCTAGTCATAAAATAATGTTTTTTCTACACTTTTGGAATCGTAGATACTCATTTTTTGTTTTTAAGTCACGTAAAATCTTACTTTGTGAAGAACAACACTGATTCCAACAATAAATACACCAAAGAAAATCGTCACAAATACATATTTGTTGAGGATAGGGGATTGGTATTTCAACAAACAGTAGTTATTTTTTTAAATAGGAAGTAATTGCACATATTTACCAATTGACTTGTTTTTTGTATACATATGAAGCAAAAATCATACAAAAACCTTCTCAAAGACGAACAGAAGAGCATGTATATGCCAAATTCTTTAATTTCAATATTAATTATATCAGTTATCAAGCCACATTCCACTGAGTATTTGCATCCCATATATTACAGTGAACTTGAAGCCAAAGTTACTAGTGTAACTTGAAGTTCTGCTTCATATCTGAACATTTTGTCGATATTGACACAAATGGACGACTAGGATCTATTAAAAACGTGATGATTTCAGCTTCCCGATTATCAACCTACTATTTCTCAGCAGTGACACAATCTGTGCCCCATCGTATGACGTTTACATATCTCAATTAATGTTACGTTCGCGCATGTTTATTTCAATACAAACTTAATTAAGAGGGAACTGATTTAGTAATTGGGAGAACAATTGAAATAAACACCATATATGTTTAAGGTCACCATTAGTAATTGGTTGACCGATTCGATGTGTATGTTTCTCAAATCACTGGCGACATGTTTTTGCGGTCTTATATCTTTAGATTCCACTATAACGCAACCAATCTAGCTCGTTTAGGAGTTCATTCGATTACCTCAGGTTCTAGTCGTTACCTTGATTTGTATCTTCTTAATTAATTTTTAGATTTGAACATCAGTAAACTACTACTCCCTAAATATTCCACTGTTTGATAAATATGTTCCGTCATTACACTACGACACGTCATGTCATTTATACTTAAACAGCTTCTCAAGAACGATCATGGTAGTCATATAACGTACAATACTGCATTTCTTCAAATTATTTTTATTACCATATCACAGGGTAATGATAAAAATCGGGTGTTCATAAAAATTGTACTGTTCTATAAGTTTTTATCAAATGTAACCAAAACTATGGAATACGATTCTTCATACGGTTTGTTAATACTTAGTGGTAGGTTTTCTCAGATTGATTGTCATGTTATACCACTAATTCAATTCGAAGAGTACTAATACAATTTATGTTTTGAGACCATGAACTGTCTCTTTGTGATGCAAAACTTGAAACTGGGACCCTCTCAAATGAAATAGTTTCGGTAAAAATCAACAATTGTGAATTGGAAGCTGACGGCATAAAAATCCGTTTATAAAATTCTACAAAAACACATTAAACACTTTCGAGTGACTGCATAATACCAAGGTTTTTACGGTCAATGCATTTTGGCTGCTCAAATAGCTCGCTTGCAATATTTATCAATTAAATATATTGATAATTAAAAGCTGTAAAACAAATATTTTCCGGCAAAAACAATTTTCAATAAAATTTTAAATGGCTTACCACTTCGAAACGAGAAAATAGTAGATATTTTCTTATACATTCACAAAAACACTGATACACAAACCAACACCAACGAAGTTCTTGATAGTGTCCATATTATTGCCACGACACCGATTCTATTATATGACGGACCACTAAAAGGCATAGATATACTAGGATTCATTATAACATTTTTTTTTCACATCAAATAAAATTGAGAATGGAAATGGGGAATGTGTCAAACACACAACAACCTGACCAAAGAGCAGAAAACAGCCGAAGGACACCAACGGGCCTCCAACACAGCGAGAAAATCCCGCACCCAGAGGCGGGCTTCAGCTGGCCCCTAAACAAAAATGTGTACTATTTCAACGAAAATGGACGTAACACTAAACTCCAAAACATACAAATGAACTAAAATAAAAAAAACACACAAGACTAACAAAGGCCAGAGGCTCCCGACCCGGGACAGGTGCAAAAATGCGGCGGGGCTAAACATGCCCTGTGAGATCTCAACCCTCCCCTTTACCTCCAGTCAATGTAGAAAAAACAAACACACAGCAATACGCACATTAAAACTCAGTTTAAAAGAAGTCCGAGTCCGATGTCAGAATAGGTAACAAAAGAAACTAAACAAAATGACAATGATACATAAATTAACAAAGGACTACTATCAGTTACTGACATGCTGACAGTTAAAGAATATATAATGTTTTTTTTTTTATATTTCAGGTATGTTGTTGACCCTAGCAATCGCCTTATTTCACGGGAAATCTCATATACTACGCAAATCAGAGCTTTTGAGTGGTTATTTAATACCATTTCAAAAAATCATAAATGAATCCAGAACTTACAGTTTTGGTTGGTCATTTGTATTGGCTTGGATTTGTGTGTTTCTGTGTTTTACGTCATCATTTGTTTGGCTTTACAAAGCACAAGATCCGCAAAATGCTCGAAAACCAGGAACACAATACTATGTAAAACATCGAACTCACCAAGGCATCGAATATATGTCGTATATACAAGATAATGAAGAATTGTAGCAGAACGTTTTATTTTTTAAATCTGGTCTTCTTTTTGCACGGTTTCATTATTTTATATCACAAACTTTTTACTCACAGAAAAAAATATCACAATAAATTTATTTACGTATTAAATGTTTATTCACAAACGATTTATACCTACAGGATTCAAAGATATATATGTACAACTCATATTTGTCAAATTTAAAACATTGTTGCCTAATATTAACATTTTGATAAAGGGATGTTGTGTGAACCTCATTGAGACAACAACCCAACAGCAAAAAAAAAAAAAGGACATTTTCATTCAAAATAAGGTCTTAAACAGCAGACAGTTGTATTTGAACATGTGTAGCTAGTCTTGACAAGAAGAGTCTAGCGAAGATCTGCTATCAACGCTAAATACTTCTAAGGAAATAAACATTTCTGTATCTCGCTCTCTCTCTCTCACGCTCTCGTTTAATTATCAAAATCAGAGTTAGAATTATTGGTTTTTGTTTAATATATTATGTCGTATATATATGCAACTTTATGCTTTTTCAAACAAATGATTTGTTTGATGAACAGTGCATATTCATAAATGGAACATATATAAGACTTGTTTAACATGCAATTTAACATTGCTTAAAAATAAAAAAAAATGAATGTATACAATATATTCAATCAAATTTAAAACATAAAATATTAAAGAAATTATGTGCATGCGTTTAATGCCATTTTGAGCAAGATGCACAGCATCTATCTCTGTATCCACGATAGGCACATCGTCGTTTAGAAGCCATTCTTCCACAAAAGGACAGCTTGTCAATACACGTTGCATCATCTGTGTAAAGATAACATCAAAATATTTACTTATATCTAACATAAAATGTTGTATATTTATCAGGTAGAAAATTATGATGAATTAAATATAATAGGTACAGAGTAGATATGGGGTATAACTTCAGTGTGATTGCAACTCGACTTACCTGTCTTTATGGAGGTTTACCGATTTGTTACGGACCAGGTACAGTTGGTATATATCTCTAACGTGTAGTTTTTGATGTAACATTTAATGCATGTAATTATCATATTTATCAGGATAAATAAAAAGAAAGGGATATAAATAAGTTATCATTGTGTGTACTTGATAGCGAATTGACCTTTTCTAGAGCGCTTTGTCTGTGGTCCACTATTCTTAATCGATTTACGAGATATCAACATCGGTAAACTACTTTCGCCTTGAGATCAACCTTACACGAGGGAATTGTGATCAACCTTACACGAGGGAATTGTGATCAACCTTACACGAGGGAATTGTAGCCTATGTTTTTTGTCAAATGCATAAATCTATGAAACTGAAATTAACAGACAAAATGTATCATTTAAATCTTGCAAATACAGAAACACCGACTACTTAGAGGATGGTTCGCTCAGGAATGATAGTATCCCAGTAGAATTAAGTCCATAATGAATATGGTATGATTTTTTTTACGCACAACACGTGCTTCTAGACTAATCTCAATTAGGTAATCAAAAGTTTAAATAGCAAAACATAAATATGTTTTGTAGCATACTAAGGGCCTTAACAGATTAGCTAAAAATGATTATTTCACGTGATGAAATTACAACCCTAACTTACTGAGAGAAATCAATCATGATTTTATGACTAAAAATTTAGAGTCAAAATGTATCATCTGATTCATGCCGGTACCAAAGCATTGGCTTCTAGGTGATTGGCAACCCCATGTGCTCATATACCATCAGCCTACGAATGTGGTAATAACCCAGTGTTAGTTAAAACCGTTTAATATATTTCCGTATTCATACGACATCTTCTAGAATAATCTTCATTAGGTACGCTCGAGATAAACCAAACATACAAAACGTTTATAAGCCTTAAAACTAAATGGGTCTACACAGAACAGCCAAAACTGTATAGAATATGGTCAACTAGTGATATTGTTTTCAATTTGTTTCAATACCAGAGGGAATCAAAAAAGATGCTTACGTTCATGTTAATTGCACATAGACTGAACTTTCTTAGACAAAAGAAAGCGGATTTTAATGGTTCTTGAAGTATCCATTTAAGAATATCTAACTTAAAAATTAATAGTTATAATCTTAAACATCGAAGTCCTAACTCAAACTCTCTTCTAAATAATTTGAAACACTTAAAATTTAAAGAGAGGATAGAAGTTGAAAATTGTTGTCTTTTTTAGACCTGGCAACTGAAATTTTGACAGAATTGTTTGCAATGCAATGGTTCATACTATTGCGACAAATCAAAACCAGGATTCTTGAATTTATCTTAATTTATATTAGGCAGATTGTATTGAATTCAGAAATATTGAAAACTTTTATTAAAATCACGGATATGATGTCTTGTTAATTGGTGGTAAAGGTTTAAATAAACGATGGCTACATACGGTTACCATTTTTTTTTCAAACTAAAAGGGTTTCTAAGGTCAATTTGACGGAAACAGATTTACGGTTTCGTTGTATTTGATTTTTATGTTAATACAAAACAATAGCCCTCATTTTGTTTTTGTAATTTGACATGGAATTAATGTGCTCTTTACTATAGTTATATCAGTTATCAATTACTTTTTTGTTTGTTTCTTTGTTATATTTCTTTGTATGTTTGTTTTTATATTTTAGTCAGTTGTGTTGTATTTCTGTGATGTATGTTTAAACTGTTTTTTGCGGCTGGATCCAAATTATTGTCACATTAACGTATTATGTCTGTTTGTGTTCCTCACCTAATTTTGTCAATATAAGGGAACTATACACAATTGTCAAACAGGTGGGAGTTAAGCTAGCTATAAAATAGGTTAAATCCATTATTTTTTTTTCGGAAAATGCCTGTACCAAGTCAGGAAAATTACAGTTGTTTCCCATTCGTTCCGTTGTTTGATAATATCTAACTTTTAATTTTTTTGGCGTTTTTTTATGGACTTCCCCTTTTTGAATTGAAATTCGGTATTTTTGTTTTACATTTTTTATATTTCAAACGTTATAATTACACCTAAGTATTTCTTTTGTAAAGAATTTTAGCTGCATAAAAACGAGCTGTAGGTCTGCAAAATGTAAAATCCATAAAAGGCAAAAATTCATAATAGCATATCGTAGATCAGACTATTGCCAAACTCCATCTACCTTATGATCATGGCATCTGATTTTTACAATATTATATTATATATATATGTATATTTTTCAGTTTTCTATATGATTATATGTCTTAATCTAATATATAGTACCTAATGGACATGCTTCCATTTTACAAGCCTGAATACTTGATGGTGGATCACCATGGCACAAAAAGTCGTCATTGGTATTTTCTGGGTCACCACAAATTACAGGTCGTCTTTGAACACCTTTATCACAGGTTGTAGAACACTGAAATTATACTCAAATTTAGTAATGAAAAGAACTGCATGACAGGAACAGCAAATAAAAGACATACTACATCCTAAATTGGAGAAATGGAAAGAATATATTATCTATGAAGAAGTGAAAATCGCGTAAAATAGCATTGGATTAATTGTCTTTCTTTAATTGCAAATAATCATTATGGATAAGATTATGATACCGAAAAGCAAGTTATTCGTGTAACATATCATTCATATAAAGACATTTATATCATTTTATCTTATGGTTACAATGTATTTTACAGACGAGATTTTAAGTTATTCAAAATAATTATAATGGAGAATACATCTGATATGTTTTTAATAGATTGTACTGCTTTTGTTTTAGTTATGTAGCTAGAAAACAGTACGTCACCTACCCCCCCCCCCCCTTTTCACCCATATTTATTTACAGTTGCCGTCTCGTATATTCTATGTAATGTGTGTTGATGCTGCTGTTATATTTTTTTTGTACATTTGCTCCCAAAGTATCATCTTACTGTTTAGAAACCGACCGTGCGAGACTCTCATGGGTCGTCAGTGTCGTCTAACAACCGTTTAGAAATGAAGTTTATTTCTGGAATTACCATAATCAGTTATGATCAACATCGAAAAAAGAAGAAAAACAAAGTAACAAACACACACATCCAAACAAAAAACAAACCAAATCAAGTAACAGTAAAACGTATGAGGGCACTTAAAGAACAGTCAATGCCGGCCTAAGGAACAGATATAAGATATCATGTTAATCTTGCCAGTAACAATAGCAATAGCTGCAATTCCAGTGGTGTATAAAATCATTATTCACCGCGCAATCCACTCACGTGTCGACAGAATGTTTGAAGTTTAACAAAGTTAAATCCTTTCATAAAGTACAAAAACACCAAGTCTACCAAAATTATCAGGAAAACACGTTATCATGATATCTTGAAAATACGATAAATTGTCTGTCAAGTAAAAAGTATTTCAAACTAGCAATACACTACGTGGCAACGAAACCTTTGGAAACCAAAATATATAAACCCTATACGAAAACACTAGTCACGAGCGCAAGCTCGCATCATAAATATGCTAAAATGTATACCAATATATTTATGATGAGTCTTTTGTAGACGAAACGCGCGTCTGGCGCAAATACTAAATTTCAATCCTGATATCAATGATGAGTTTATTTATAGTAAACAGGGAAAACACGCACAGAAATCCTCCTGTATTTAGGTTTGTCAATGTTCCGTTCATGTAAAGTAGAATATTACTGAAGCTGGTAGTAAGTGAGAGATATATGATATCATACTGCTGAATACTCTCTAATTGAATTTTCAGATCCTCTATGACTTTTATTCAAGATCTCTTTAGTAAATTAAACATTATGACAAAAACGCTGTCAATCAGTTTTTTCACTATCATCTAATTTGAAACGAATGTGAAGCCAAACACAGCTCTTTATAATGCGTAATTACTCATTATTAAACAAATTTTACCCGTTCTCGCACTGTGGTTGCCTTGATTATATTTTAATTCTTGATGTTAGGCGGATATAAAATTGAAAAAGGAGACAGATAAATGACCAAACGTATTCAATTTTGAAACTTTGCAATACAAAGGTTACACGATAACTTAATTTGCTATTTTTCT